TGCGCCCTGCGCCCTGCGCCCTGCGCCCTGCGCCCTGCGCCCTGCGCCCTGCCCTGCCCTGCCCTGCCCTGCACTGCCGTGCCCCATGCCAGGAGCAAAATAGATTTTTTTTGATCTGTGAATAGTTTTTTTTTGATCCCTTGAATAGTTTTTTTTTGATCCCTCACCCCGTTAACCGAGCTGGCAAGCCAAGGGAAGGAGCAAGACCATGGAGTCTTTGCCCCAAGATCACTGTAGCCGCAGCCAGCTTCCCCTGCTCTTGCGAATTGCAGACCGCTATACTCCTATAGTCCGACCTCTTCCACCTAGAGGGCGCAAGTTGATGACTTTTGCAATTCCCTCCTACCCCTCATCTTGGGGTCCGGACGGGATCGTATGTGCACAACATGGGCTGGGTTTCCTCTGCATGGCTGAGGATCGCCAGAGTGCGCCACCGCTCTGGAGAACTCAGCTCGGCGCCGGATGCCATGAAGAGAGACCACGAAGTTGTCCTCGCGGCAATGCAAGGTGATGCTTGGACTAGTTCTATTATGTTCTATTGTTCCAGCCTGACAAGCACCAGGCTCCGTATCTGAGTTTTGCGACGTCATACAACCCTCTGTTTTGAGGTTAGCACACCCTTGACTGCTTCAAGCCCACTTTGCCATCACCTTTCTGAACATTGCACACAGAAGCCGAAGCGTCCATTCCCGGCACCACCTCGGCGTTGGTAACAAAGTGTAGGCATTGGTAACAAATTGTAGGATGTCAAGGCTCTGGGACAATGGCAACTAGCAGGTGTAAGCCTCAGTCAAGCGAACCAGTTCAGAACAAGACACTGGATTCTCTCACCACAGAGGGAGTGGGAAACTTGGCTGACCTAGCATTCTCGCTACTTGACCGTTGAGGCCTTGAGACGGTATTGTGTTGTGCTTGAACGCGCGTCTCATCGCAAGGGCACCAATGTTTCATTGGGAAATCTGAAGGCCAGCTGCAAACAGGCAAGGTTCAGTCGTTTCGGTTGTCTGGGTTTTCTTCCTCGAGGTATGGCAACCAGAGGTCTAGGTAGTACACTGTGATTTCGTTCTCTTGCTGTTGAAATCGTTTTGCAGTCAGGGCTTGGCATAGACAATTCCGCAGTGAGCGCAAACACGCACGTTCTTTGCATGCTGTCCGGCTTCTCTTCCTCACAGGTCTTTGGTCAGAGTCTTGCGTCGGTTCTGGTTCACGAGTTTGGATGGTGCGAGTATTCCCCATGGCCTGCGTCGCAGTCGATGGCCGCGGAAGATCAGCAGATAATGTACGAAACGCATCATCGCAGCACTGCGCGGGATCGGATAAGTAGCTGCTTTTGCCGCGGCACCTGTTTCGTTGTGATTTCCGAAGCCAACTGTTCAGAGCTTCGGTGGGCGGTACAAAATCTCTCCCAATTCTACTGACTCTAGTGACCTCCTGCGGTCGCATCAGGACAAGGCCGTCATTCGCTTCGCAGCGCCGGAGCGCTTTAGACTTTCCTGTCTCGTTTCGCCATTTTCGTCTAGAAGCAAAATCTGCGGAAGTTTGAAGGAGCTCTTGAGCGACCGCGACTTTGCGGCAGCCGTTGTGGCTTGGTCTGGCGAGGCGTGGTCTGCTAACGCCAGAAAGGCAGGGAGAAAGGGAGACGGAGCAGACGAGTACAACATGCACAGAGATTGACGAGAGGTATGAGCTGAAATCTGAAATGCAATTAGTGTTGTTCGTCCTTGTGAGCTGGGAGTTTCGACATGGCAAGTCAGTTCGCGGTAACGATGAGTTCAGACACGAAGTTCCGGTCTCCGTCCATTCGAGATCCTCGGCAGGGGAAGCGGAGTACGAACACTAGCGGTAGATCGTAGGCCTTCTGCCAAACGTCCTCGTCATTCCGCGAACGTGTTCTTTGAGATTCTCGCAGACACTGTATGGACAGTGCCAATTTTGCGATAAGGAGGGGCAGGGAGATGACGCACCAGCCTCCATTGGGGCATCGGGGACTGATAAGCGAACAGCGTCTTGAAACGGCTGAGACAAACGTCCGAAAAACGAAGTCCTGTAGCCATACATGCGACGTTTGCAGTGTGTTGAACCCAGCGCGCACACAGCGACGTCGCGACGCCGGCGGCCTAAAGGCAAGAGACCCCAGCCCGTCTTGGGCTGCTTGATTCAGGCATTGGAGCACTTGCTGCCATCATGGAAAGCTGCAGCCCACCTAGTGAGTTGTCCAATCAAGCAGAGATAGGTGTTTGTTCGTAGTGGCAGCTGCTTTTCGTGCTTGCTGGTCGTTTGGCGACATGCCACTTGTAGCTGCTGACTTTTGCTGCATTCAGAGATACGCAGAGCACCGAGGACAAAACCATCGTTCTCACGGCCATCAAGCAGAGCCCCCGAGCTATCCGTCATGCGTCTGATTCACTCAGATCGCAAAAAGACTTCTTGCCAGGAGCTTAATGTACGGGAGAAGCAGCTAAGCATGTTAGTTTGATGGAACTTGCCCTTTCAAGGATCGAAGCCATCAGCTGCAGCAAAGGCTTGGCTTTGCAGTCGCTGAGTCTCCTGGCCCGCGTCAGGCTTCCTGCGGAAACTGCATGATTAAGGTTCAACGAAATAGTTGCACACTTTGACAGAGCACGGCGAGCCGCGATCTGGGCAAAAAGGTCAAGACCGAATACAAGATCGAGAGCTACAACAAGCTGCTGTGAGCGCAAACTGGATGATGCTGGGGTGGCTACGCAAGCAGGCCCCAAGCCTAAGTCACTCAGCTGATTCGAGTCAAACGGTTTGACCCACGGTGTATAAACACATCATGACGCCGTTAGCAACCCTCGGTTCTGTGCCGTTGACTAGCAAGAGGGACTGCGAGGAGAGGAGTTGTACGCGGCACCTGACTGTCAGTCGCGTTTGACCCGTAGGGGCTGCGAAGGCCGAAGCAGGGGCCTTTGCTCAAAATCTGAATTGTAGTCTGATGATGGCACGGTACTTGTCGGATAAGAAGTGAAGGGGATGCCTGCACCGCTCCGATTGCTCAGTCTTGAGCATGCGCCAAACGAAGAGGAAAGCATGATCAGCCTGCCTTGCCAACAGCGAAGTGTCCCGTTAGGGGGCTCCGGATTTGCAGGCATTTCTTCAGGTTGCACGTCATTCTGAATCTTTTCGCTCAAAGACCAGCATAAGCTCGTACTTCTGCGACAGTTGTCAATCTGGGTCTTATTCTTGTCCTTGGCTTCCTGAATCTGCTGCCCTCAGTATCTCCATCTATCACTTGAGAGCGCCTGTGCCGCATCTCAAAGGCAATGATGCAGAGATCGTGCTTGCGGCTGTGGCGAACAATGGATGCGAGCCTCATCTGAATCTACGTCGCCTGACGGTACACGTAGTACACGCTCATGGCTTGCTGCGAACTTAGCTGTGCATTCATGCTTGGGACGGCAGGTTGCCTTCACATATGTCTTTTCTGAGCGGACTCGCAGACACAATTTCGGCAGGCACTGGAGTTTGCTTCCTCCGAGCTTCGCGACGACACAGCCTTGGTCGCCTTGGCGCTGCAGCAGTGCCCTGTCGGCGACTGCGACATCAGGGCATGTGAGGGCGTAAAGTCCAAACCCACAATATTGAGATCGCAGACACTTCTTCTGTTTGCTTCACTCATGGATTCGTTCTTTTGCAGACACTTCTGCTGTGCCGTTGCGATGTGTCCCAGAAGCCGGGGCGCGGCACTTCGCTGGGCTTCAGAGGCGCGCCGTTCGGAGAGGCCGGGTCCTGGATCCCGGTAGCTTTGGTTCCGTATGGCCGTCGGCTCGCGTCAACGACATATCGATTTGGGAAATCCAGTAAATCGGGAAGGCACAGATGGTAAATTCCTTAAATAAGGGTGGTGCTCGGGAATAGCACTTGACATCCGGGGGAACTTTTCGAAGTCGATTTTTCTGAGACTACGTCGTTCCGGAAAGTTGCGCATTGTTTCGTGAGTCATGCCCTTTGCTGCTGCTGCTGAATTGTTGTATTTTTTCGTTGCTCAGGAGCATCCATGCGGTGCAGTCCATGGTATCGTCCATCCTTTACATTCCTGACCGATCCTCGTGGGCGTTGGAAAAAACTGTGCCAAAAAAGGAAAAGCATGCAAAACAACGTTTCAACAGATATAAGTTGGAATCGCTGGTGGCCTGTTTAGTAGAAGGTGTCTGTCCTTGTGTTTTCTGGCCTCAAGATTCAAAAATTAATGTCGAGGCCTATTTGGTCCGAACTTTGAAGCCCAGATCCACATC